CTACTGTAACAAACAGCTCCCAAAATATCAGAACTAACCCTCTTTTCCCATGCCATGGTAATCAGAAACATTGAAGATGATGGTGCTCTGCCAGCCTGAGTTCCTGAGTGACGTCACAAAAAGATAGGATTTTTCCCTATGTCCTCGAGGTGAGAACCTTGGATCTTTACCTGGGCCCTGGGAGTAAGGGATTTTCTTCCCCTCTCCCAGCAGCATAAAGCTTTTCCTTTGAAGCCTTTTGCTTTTGCTTCTTCTGGGGAAGTAGGTGAGGCTTTATACTCATCTCCTGGCTGCCACCAACCACCTCTTTTACTCCTGCATCAGCAAGAACTGGCACTCTCCAGTCTGCTGCCTTGCCCCCAGTTTTTCTCACAAGTGTCCACTTAAGAATGCGTGTGACCACCCGTTGTGTCTGGGAAGTCCAGCTATTCCACACTGACACAGTGGGTGCATTTTTATTGAATGTAATTAAACCTATAAAGTTGATTTTTTTAAATAAAAAAGTAAGACAAAAAATAGGTTCAATTACTTCAGTATTAAGCATTTTTGCTCAACAGAAGACACTGTTTGCAAAGTTAACAGATGAATGATAGATTGGGAAAGACATTTGCAGTGTCTAAACCCAATAAGAAACCATTAAAAAAAATTGTGCAGTCAAAAAGTGAGACAATGGGGGCTGGCCTGGTGGCATAGTGGTGAAGTTCCCGCACTCCACTTTGGCGGCTTGGGGTTTGCAGGTTCAAATCCCAGGGTGGGGACCAATGCACTGCTTATCAGGTGGTGGCATCCCATGTATAAAGTGGAGGGAGATGGGCACAGATGTTAGCTCAGGGCCAATCTTCCTCAGCAAAAAAGAGGAGGATTGGCAAGAGATGTTAGCTCAGGGCCAGTTTTCCCTACCAAGAAAAAAAAAAGTGAGACAGGAAATCTAATAGAAAAATGGGCAAATATGAACCAGCAATTCAAAGAACTTGATATGCAAACATCTAACTAACTTATGAAGACATGTTCAAACCCATTAATAATTAGAGATTTACAAATTAAAAACAATGACGTATCAAACTTACGAGGAACAGGTAATTCCATCTTAAGTTGTTCCATAAAATAGAAAAACAAAAAATGTCCAGTTCATTTTATGAGTGAATGTATCTTGATTTTAAAATCAGATAAAGTCAGCACGAGAAGAGAAAAATATGGGCCCATTGGATTTGTGAACATAGATATGAAAATCCTAGGTGTAAGATTTGCCAAAGCCAACAGTATATGTATAAATGTATAAATATATGATCAAGAGGCAACTGAACTAACAGTTATGCAAAGAGATGCAGAGACTCTGGCATCAGACTACTCTGGTTCATGTTCCAGCTCTGCCCCTTATTAGCTGTGTGACCTTGGGAAAGTTACCTGGCCTCTCTGAAGGGAGATAAAATATTTACTTTCCAGGAATACAAAAATATTTCAATTGGGCCGGCTCCGTGGCTTAGCGGTTAAGTGCGTGCGCTCTGATGCTGGCAGCCCGGGTTCGGATCCCGGGCGCGCCCCGAGGCACCACATCTCCGTCCAACCCGAGGCCGAGTCCCGCGTACAGCAACTAGAAGGATGTGAACCTACGACATACAACTATCTACTGGGGCTTTGGGGGGAAAAAATGAATAAATAAAATCTTTAAAAAAAAAAAAAAATTTCAATCAATGAAATTCACTATGTTTATAGGCTAGAGGAGAAAAACCATATGATTAATTATATATTTAACATGATAAATGCAGAAAAAGCATCTGACAAAATTCTGCATCTGTGATAAAAAGTTATTAGCAAATTAGCAAGATCAGGAAACTTATTTTTGTGTAAAAATCACGTGCCACAATCCTTTCGTAAACATCATACTTAGAGGAGAAACTTTAAATCCCTTTCCATTAAATATTGGACCAAGACAAGAATTCCTATTTTTACTGTTACTGTTTAACACAAAACTAGAGATCTTAGCAAATGCTGTAGGAAAGGAAAAGAAATAAGAAATGTAAAGATTGTTGTAGCAGACGCTGTAGAAAGCCCTGGAGCAGCCCTTGGCCAAAGACAGATGGGGCTTAGAGGAAACCTTCCTCAGGTTCCTTGCCTCTCGTGGGGGCTGACTCTGAAGTGTGTTGCATCCCGATCCCCAGAATTCCCCAGGGGGACTGAGCCCCAGTTGGCCACAGCAGTCATCAGCTCCCAAGTGCATCCATCACTGGCTTCCTCCCTCTTCCTTCTTAATTTCCTACACTCTACTGATGCCTCCCGGCACCACCTCCAAAATACACTACTCGCACTCCAATCGTTGTCTCAGGGCACGCCTCTGGGGGAATCCAACCTAAGAACACTATCAAATGCTTTTTCTGTGACTGCTGAGACTATGCGATTTTCCTCTTTACTCTGTCAATGCAGTGTCTCACAGTATTAGCTTTTCTGATGTAGAACCATTCTTTTACTCCTCAATAAACCTTTCTTGGCCATGATGTTTTTATTCACCTCTGGTTTCATCTTGCTAGTATTTTATTTATTTTTCCTCATCTATTTCATAAGTGAGATTAATCTACAATTTTCTTTTATCTAGTTGTAGTAAAACTGATCTCATAAAATGAGTTGAGTAGATTTCCTTTTTTTTCTGTTTTCTTAAAGAATTTATATAAAGGGAGAAATTATGTGTAAAGCCACACAGACCTGATGTCTTTCAGTGGGGGCAGACTTTTGATTATGGATTCATTTCTTTGTTGGTTATTAGTTTATTTAGTCTTTTTATTTCTTATTGAAATTATGTATCTTTTACAGATTATTTATCATTTATATATTTATATATCATTTACCATTTATATTTTCTTCTAGATGATTACCCATTTCATGTAAATGAAAATTTATTCAGATAAATTTGTTCAAAATATTATCTTATGATTTCAGAATCTTCTACAGTACCTAATATTTATGTCCCTCTTTTCATTTTCATGTTCTCTGGTGAATATTTTTCCTTTCTCTGACTCTTTTTCATTTTTTCTTTGACCAGTCTTTTCTATTAGTTATTTCAGAGATGTAGCTTTGGTTTTGTTGAACCTCTGTTTGATTTCTTACAACTTTACCATTTACAGTTAATCCCTATTTCATGCCCAGCCCCTGGCAACCATTAATCTACTTTCTGTTTCTGTGTATTTGCCTTTTCTAGACATTTTATATAAATGGAATCATATAATGTGTGATCTTTTGTGTCTGGTTTCTTTCACTTATAATGTTTTTGAGGGAACCTCTCCATTTTTGTTTCTCATTTCGTTTTTCCTGGAGCTATCACAGAGCCAGTCACAGAGTCCCGGGTGGCTTGGCGCCTGCCTAGGGATGAGTGGGGCCTCTGACTCCTAGTCGCCCCAGACGTACAGCTTCAGGGAAGTCAGAGCCTCCATCTTCCAGTGGGGAAGCCTTCCCCCTTTGTCCCCCTACCCCCTTTACAGAGTTGGTCACATGGGCTGAAACTAATGGAAGACCTGCCCTCCATCCTGTTCTGGGTGGTTTAGACGTGGCCTTACATAGTGAGAGCACAGTCTTGTGGCGCATTTCCTTCCTTTAGTGATGAAGACCCTCTGCTATTTCAACCACTCATTAAGTTGTGGGGACCTTTCAAACGGCAACCTTTAGTCAGGGCATCCTTCTCGCAGACCACCCCAAGCATCCTGGGCTTCTGTCACTGGCTTTGCAAACTTAGAAAGAACTACACTTCGTGCTTGCACGCTGCTCAAGAAGGGGTGAGAAAACACCTCCGCACGGACGTTCTACGGAGGGGTGGGGACTGCTGGAGTGTGACATTTGCTAAAACTTGATTTGATTATGAGGGAGAGTTGCCACAATAAGCTTTGCAGGCTGCTCCCCCACCCCCACCCCCACCCCGTCCCCAGCACTCTCCGTTTGGAACCCACCTAGTAGATTTGGATAAAAGTATCACTGTATACCGGACACAAGCGGTAACAGAGGCAGCGAAGCGAGTCGAACGGCCAGGATGACGGTGGTCAAACAAGACTTCAGTTCTATCTGTAGTGAGCTCATGTTTTTTAAATCGGGGAATTAAGAATAAGAACTTTTTACTTAACATGAACATATATCTGAAGATCCATCATTAAGTATGTGATAATAAGTAAGTCCCAAAGGAGCTCTTCCTCCCAGCCCTCTAATCCTGGCCGGCTTGTGGGTCGCGGTGGGGGGAGCCCCTGGGAAGCAGGAAACGAGCGGAGAAAGCCGGGCCTCCAGGGACCGGCAGCGGCCGCAAGGGCGCAGCATTTCGTGCACTAGGAGGCAGCACGGCGCCGAGGAACCCGAACGGGGTCCGCCGGCAGGATGTGTGACCCGGGGTGGTGCCCTCGCCGGCCAGGCGTCCCCACCTGCAAAGTGGCGCGGGCAGAGCAGCCTCGCGGGGTAGCTGCGGGATGGATTCAATGATTAATGCTGGTTCACCTTCTTGGCCCTCGGACAACAATCAGTGGGCGCTCGCGAAAAACCAATTCGCTTCCCCTCTCGCTCCCACAGAAATTTTGGGAGCCATGCGGCGCGGCTGGCCTCCCAGACGCGGGACGGTCCCGCCGAGGGATCCCCTAAACTCCCCAAAGCCCAGCCCGTGGCTCACGGGCGCGCCCCGCGCGGGGGACTACAGTTTCCAGAGTGCCCTGCGGCGACGGGCGGAGCCGGGGAGCGCCCGCAGCCAATTACGGGGTCTCGGGCGCTGCCGGGGAGCGGCAGGTGGAGCCGGGCCGGTGGGCGGGCGCGGGACCCGGTCCCCGGAACGCGTCCCGGGGCTCGCAGGCTGGGCGGGGAGCGCGGCGCGAGCGGAGCCGGCTTCGGGAGGCGGCCCCGGGGACGGCACCGAGCGGGGGCGGGTCCGCGGTCGCCTGCGCGGTTCCGGGTGCTCCCGCCGCGCGCAGCCCAGGGCGCACTAGACCGGAGTCAGGCTGCGGGGAAGGGCGGGTCTGGGGAGAACCCCCGAGCGCCGCCGCGTCCCTCAGCCCCTCCTCCTCGCGGCCGCCAGAGCCAGAGCCGGCGCCACCTCGCCCCTCGGCGCGCGCGCTCCCAGCCATGGCTTTCGCCAATTTCCGCCGCATCCTGCGCCTGTCTACCTTCGAGAAGAGAAAGTCCCGCGAATATGAGCACGTCCGCCGGGACCTGGACCCCAACGAAGTGTGGGAGATCGTGGGCGAGCTGGGCGACGGCGCCTTTGGCAAGGTTTACAAGGTGAGGGCGCTGGGGGTGGGTGGCGCGGGGCGCGTGGAGCGGCTCCGGAAGGAAAGGGCGCCGGCCCCGGTCAGCCCCGGCCATTGCTCGGGAGGGCACAGAGGGGCTGCCCGGCTCTGAACTCCGGGTGTCGGGCGCCTGTCCTGATGACCCTTGTTCCTTGAGGGGACCCTCACTCAGCACAGCTGACGCCTTGCGCGCCCCCTCTGGGCACGGCTGCTGCCCCCAGCTCAGTTTTCTGAGCACTTCCTGTGTGCCCGGCTCCGGGCTCGGCGCCGCAGGGGGAGACAAAGGGGCGAGTATAGGACCTTAGCATCCGAGACGAGGCATCTGCCGTAGAACTATGATAAGAGGTGTACTTTTTAAGAGAGGCGGTACAGATACTGTGAGAATACCGAGGCGATGGGGACAGAGAAACTTGGCTGCGTCTGGAAGAGTTGGGACCGGTGGAGTTGGGGACACATCTGAAGATGAGCCGCAGACAGGAAGGAGGGGGGCTCTAGATAGAGTTAGGCTTGGCAAGTGGGCTGGGGGTGGGCAGAGGCGGAGGCCGGGCGCGTGAATCCTGCGCCTCGGGGATCAGATTTGATTCTGTGGGTGAGTCACAGCTGGGGAGGCTCCCGGTCTGCAGTCACCTTTCCCGTTGAGGAGACCTTTTGTGGAGGGGTGGGTGGGGCAGAGCTGATTCATTCTAGACACGTTTGCAGCAGGTCATTGTCTGATTCCTGCTCCCCGTGAACCAATTCTGAGTTGCTGAGTTGCACTGGGGATCCACTTAGGGCTTGACTGCACCCCTTTCCTGAGAGAATCCCACATGCTAAGCTGGTGTATACCTCCAAGAGGGCGCCGCCTTACAAAGCCACCATCCTCCTCCTTGGGGCTCCTGTAGCTTGTAGACCACTCTGACCCCAGGATTGCCCTTTTAGGAGGCTGGACCACAGTGAGGGCTTCTCTAGGCCCTCCTGGTCAGGACTTGCTCTCTTTGCCTTGATGGTGGTCTAGAGCCAAGTTACCCAAGTGCAGGCCCTAGATGAGCAGCATTAGCATCACCTGGGAGCTGGTTAGAAACGCAGAATCTCAGGCCCCATGCCAGCCTTACTAAATTAGAGTCTGCATTTTAACAGGTGATTGCTAAGCACATCACAGTTTGAAAAGCCCTGCTCCAGAGGCAGTTTGGAGGCTGGCCAGGCCCATCCGGGTGCTGTTTTGTTACCCTACCACCTCCCCTCTGAGCCTCACTTCCTGTCGCAGCTGGACGCCCCGCTGGGGCAAAGGTTCTGTTGTTGGAGAGGCAGGCCTCTGTGTCACTTGCAGCGCTGCCTAGATTTGCTCTGCCTGAGCGTTCTGCCCGTATTTGAGGGCAGCCAGCACATTCTTTCCTCGGCGCATCTCTTCTTGACCCTTCTCAGAGTTGCGTCTTAGTGGCACCTGGAAGCCGTCCTCAGCCTTGCAGCTGGCCCTGGACACCCTGCCAGTGTCCTTGCCTTCCCAGGACAGAGCCTGCTCTTCCAGATGTGCTCTGACCAACATGAGGGAGGGCAGCCGGACCCTCGGTCAGCTCACCACATCCTCCACTTTCTCCAGAAGGTTCAGTTGGTGTTTTTAGTGTGTACCGTTGGCTCTGACTAATGCTTTTTCTCTTTTAGGGGCTGGTTTTCAATTGTCCCTCTCCCCGAGTGTATCCTGACTTCATATGGTTCATTTTCTTTTATTTTTTTTTTTTTTT